GAAGTTTTTTTTTATCCAATGACAGAAGAATATTTTTCATGACAGAAATGCAATAGTGGTAGATGGTAAAAAAGTTGGCAGTCTTCGACGTGACATTGCAAAATTGCTGGCCCCAGTTATGGATTCCCTGAATGCAGAAAGCGAAATACCTATTTTGCTGTCACAGCTATTTCGCGTTCGCCCCTTATTGTATGCAATTAACAATTATATTTAAAGAATTTTTATAAGCATTACAACAGACTTCAAGAAAGTCGACTGTTAATACAACCACAGTCAACGAATAGAAAATAATTTTTTGTGTAGAAAAAGCCCCCCTGGGCGTGTGCTCGGATATGACCTCAACTTCTTTATTGTGTCAAAAGGGGGGGGGGGCATTTGCCTCGGCATTAAAATTACACGTATTCAAAAACCAGATCTCAAATCCAGGTTACTGCCCCAAAGACAAGGTTGGTTGTTTTTAAGCAATATGAGCCACATATAGACCATGAGCTACTAAACCTGAGCTCTTCAGTTGTACCATGTGTGTCTTATTTTGTAGGTGAGGCAATGAAGGAGGAAGGCATCAAGATAACACATGTGTTTTCATCACCGGCACTTCGATGTGTACAGACGGCGGATGCCATTCTTCAAGGTAAGAATAAACGGACATATGCAAGTCATGTGATGCTAATAATGGATGGTGATAGAAGGAACCATGATATGAGTTGTTCCTATCTGCTGCATGCATGTCGTAAAACTGAGATGTCACATTTTCAAAGATATCCACTGAAGTGTACAGAATCTTTCTTTCATGTTTTGTCTTCCGAAGGACCCAAAGCTAGCAAGCAGATCTGTAGTTGAACTCTTTGCATGTTGATCTGAGTGAGAAATAAATAGAATTGAACTGATTGAGTCACTTTGCTTTCAGGAATGAGTGCTGAGAGCTCGCTTAAAATTCGAGTAGATCCTGGTCTGTTTGAGTGGTTGGCATGGAGTCCAATTGGAGTCCCTAGTTGGATGACTCCTGCTGAGATGGCTGCCTTTGGACTTAGAGTCGATATAGATTACAAGCCTTTTGTTGCTGCAAAGCTGTTGGATCCGAAAGAGAAATGTGACCATTATTACAGACGAAGTCACACATTTACACAGAATGTTTTAAAACTTTGTGAGCATACGGGTAAGTGTGAAGTTTTAAAACAGTTTGAACAAACTAGAAAAAAACATCTGAAAAACATGATATATAGTAGATAATATTTGGTAATCGTGTCAGACTGAAACTGTTGTAGACATGTACATCATCTAATATGCCTAGCAACATGACTTCCAAAATTAATAAACAAATAAATTGTATTTACAAGGGGAATAAATATTCTTATTATACATCTGTCACCATAACGACATAAGTTACAGCGTGCCGTAATTTTGTGGTATTTTTACGGGTATTTACATCCTACCATATAAGGAAATGCGAATTCTAAAGGAATGATTACGCACAATCCAACGTTCTGTGATTGCCCCCCCCCCCCCCGACCAGAATAGAAAATTTAGTTCATTTATTTAAAAAAGTAAGAAGGATTATTAAAATGTTGTATTTATATTTTTCTAGGTGGTCATATTATGATGGTGGGACATGCAGGTACATTGGATGGATGTGGTAGGCAGTTACAAGGTCTATCACCGAGAAACCCAGCTGACTTTACAGGAATTGTACAAAAGGTAGATTTGAACCACCTCCTCCATTTGTAGCCTCACAAGGTCGATGATAATTACTGTGCCCCACTATGATCTCATTGAGAGAGAGGGGATAAGAAAGAGAGTCACAGGACTGTTTTTTTTCCCCTCTCATGGCCATCTTTTCTCCCATCTTCCCGTTCACTGCTCCCCTGACAGTGAACTTGATGAATGGAAAAAATGGGACACCATTTGATGAGCAAAAAAATAACAAGTCTTGTGGCTGTCCCACTGAGGCTGTCCCACTGTGGCTGTCCCATCAGCTTCTCAGCAGGCATTTGTGTATTTCTCAAGTCAAAGGATCCGGTAAATTTTGTGGCTGTATTTCATTTCAGATTTTAATTTTTGAATATCAACCCTAATTTGGGAGTCCGCAGATAAAATTTGAGTCAAATTTCAGTTTTTACTCAAAAAATTTGGCTATTTTTGTCTCAAAATTCTGAAGGAAAGTGCAGACTATAAACAGAACTATTTTGTGAATTTGTGATGAAAAGAAAGAACTGGCAGTGAAAAGGTTGAAATCTTTACAAAATTTAATTCGCTTGAATAAATTCAAATTGTAAAATTTATTAGCATAAAAAATAAACTGATTTATATTGTTATAAGGTTTTAGTAGAATATTAGATGTGTGTATGTCTTTTGGAAAACAAAAAGTATTTATTTTATGTTTCCAGGTTCCATATTGCGGTGTGTGTACCCTGGAAGAGATCAAGACAGCTGGTATATGGGATTTGGTTCAAACTCCTTTTCCTACGCTAACTCATGGTCCAAACCCAAGGTTTGACTGGCGCATACTCCAGAACTGATTCAACAACCTTGGAGTCAATGCAAAGCTTCTTACAGGTTTACGCCTGATTGGATACTCAACCCTAATGTCTAACATTCAGACCAATCAGAGGGCAGCTTGCTGATTGACAGGTTTTTTGATGATATCAAATTTTGAGTTGTATATGTACTTTGACTCAACTGCAACTTTGCAGAGGTTTTACCCATAATCCTTTGCTTGAGAATCAAGATGGCTGATTACATAATACCGATGAAAAATTGAATATCTAGAGAATGAAAACTGATATATAAAAAAAACTGTAAATTGCATTCTCCTACATTTGTGGAGCTTTTTCTTTAGGGGTCATTATGTTGTTTGGACTGATGTTTCCTTTAATAAATATATACAACACTGTTTTTATGTAGTGCAATGGACAGAACAAGAAAATCATGCAGCAGTCACTTTAACAAATGATCTGACAAATGTCTCATTCTGGCACGTACTGTTCACAAACTCAATACAAGGGTGTAGATGTTTATTTTGATAAGTACTGTTCATACCATTTGGCAGCATCTAGTTGTTGCCATGGTTTTACTAGATTTATATATCTACCGAAAAGGTTTCAACAGTTTTACTGTGGTTCTTTTAACACAATTCAAGACATAGAATGTCACTTGTGAAACTCACTACATTTTAATAAGCAAAATGTAAACTAAATATATAGGACGTGTAGCCATGGGACCATAATTCATGTTGGGGAGTGCAAATGAATGTGACAGGTCTTTGTGAAAATTCCTATCATGGTTTTATGGTAATTGAATGCACTGATTATTAATGCAGACTTTACATGTTTTTTCCAAAGTTGCATTAGTGAATAAGTCTGCCAGTGGTGTTGACCTCTCCATTGAGTGTGTGGCATACTAACACTGGATTAAGTTGATCCACTTCGGCTGTCGAATCTCTGATAGGATTTGAACTTTGCCATCCGTGATTGAAAACAGCCTCCGTTTTTACAATGTTACTATTTTTAACATTTTTAATTTTAATAGTTTATTAATATTTGTATAGATTTCTATTTTTTTACTTGCATAGTATCTTTATGTTTAGTGTAAAGTTGTAGCATTGTGATAAGAGGCATGTTTTCAGTGGAAATTAAATTCAGCTGCAATTAAGTAATCACAGTTTTGTAGATGTTAATTATCGGTAATGAAAAAAACATTGGGGCTTATAGATAGAGTTCCGTCCATTTGTCCATTGCATTATCATAGTACTGTAAA